TTCTGGATTTCTTCGGGAAAACGAAAACGACGATCTGGAGTGGGATCCGTCTCAAGACGGTCGATGAGTTCCAGACGAACCGGAGACGTACTCGAGACCCACGTCGTCTTCGACGCCGGCGACTCCCAAGTCCGTCTCACTGGAAGATCTCGATGCGCACCGTCGAGAATCGGCGAAGGAGAACGAACGTACGTTGGAACTGGGCAACCAGAAGCTGAACGAGGTGCAGGACAAACTTGCGGAAAAGGAACGAAAACTGACCGAAGCCAGAGTCGTCATTCAGAAATTAAAAGACGAAATACACGAGGCGAAGATGTCCGCGTTGAAAGAATCGTCCGACGTTCGCAGCATCGCGGAGGAAGAGGTCGAACGTCTCAAGACAGAACTCGCTTCAAAGACGGATGCCCTNNNTTTACGCTGATCCGCCCACGCCGGCCACCAGATCCTGTCTCTTATACACATCTAGATGTGTATAAGAGACAGCCTGAAGAGAGCGGACTCGAGCTGCAGCAAAAGCTGCAGGAAGCTGCCCGCAAACTGAAAGACCGAGAGAGATCGCACGCCGACATGGAAGAGGAGTTGGAAGAGAAAGACGACAAAATCAGCGTGCTGAAGAAAGAGTCGACGCTCGCCAAGACCGTGATGTCCATGTACGAAAAGCGGGTGGACGTCTTGGAAGAAAACCTGAAAACGGCATGCAAGCGATACGACGAGGAAGTGAAAAGCAGACGGATTGTGGAGGCGGCCGCGAAAAAGGCAGACGAGCACGCGCAATCCATGGCCGATAAGAACGTCGAATTGCAGCGAGAACTTTTAAGACGGCAACCCGAAGAGTCGTTGTACGAAATGGAAGTGAACCTCGGAGAGAAAGAGGAGTTGCGGCGAGCGCAATCCGATATGGAGGAGGAACGGAAGACGGTTATGCGATTGAAGAGTGCGATCGAGGACCTGAAAAAGGACCAAACGCGTCATTCGGAGGTTTTTCGAGAGAACAAGAACCTGAAGGAGGAGGTGGAAGCGAACGCCAGGAGGATCGAAAGTCTCGACGACGAACTTCGCTCGTCGTAACGGACGCTCGGCGACAGAGACAGACTGATTTCGGACAAAGATCGAGCGACGTCCAACCTGAAGAAGGAAATCGGCACTCTCAGAGACGAACTTCGTGCCGAAAAGGACAAGGTGGCAACAGCCGTGAAGGAACGCAGCAACGACGACGCCCAAAGTTCAGTGACGCTCGAGAAAATAAAAGACGAATTGCGACTGACGAACCGGGAAGCTGCGGCTGCAAAGGACCTCCAACGAAGGTCGGCGACGAAGCTGGAAGAGACCGAGAAGCAGGTGGAGAGTCTGAAGGAACGGTTGGATGACAAAGGTCGCTCGACTGCCAACGCGAAAAAGGAGATCGCCTCCCTCAGAGACGAACTTCGTGCCGAAAAGGAAAAGGTGGCAACGGCTTCCAAGGAACGCAGCGACGGCGACGCACGACGTTCGGCAATTCTCGAAAAGATAAAAGAGGATCTGCGACTGGCGACTCGCGAATTGGAGACTGCCAAAGACAGGGAACGACGGTCGGCGAAGAAGTTGGAAGAGAACGAGAGGGAGGTCGAGAGTCTGAAGGAGTGGTTGGACGTAACGGAGAAGAATCACGAAGCGAACCTTCGCG